CCCTGTTGATTTAATTAATTACTTTATAGAGGAAGGAAGGTAACATTGTTGAAATTATCAATGAGATGTGTAGAAACCATGGTCAGGGTTTCCAGGATAAAAAGCAAAGACTATCCTAGGCTAAACTGGGACGGGTGGCGTCGTCTTGTAATCCAGCTACTAGGAGGTCACGAATTGTGGATATTTATAGACATGCACTGTGGATGTGATACTCCCTGGTGTGGATTAAGGTCCGCACGAGTGAGTACTACGACTATCCGCAGTACTATACTGATAATTAGACCAATTCGTATATACCAAGGCAAAAATGTGGTTCGGATTCCACTATAAACTGTAGGTCCCTTAGTTGCCATTAGCTGTATGGACTATTAATTAACAGCTGTGTCTTTTAAGGAATATGTCAGCCTTAGTCACTAACAAGACTACAAGATCGCGCCACTCATCTCCATTCATACTTGGCTTAAAATACCTACTTTGTATGGTCGCCATTTCATTGAACAGTATTTCAAAGTTTTTAACTTAGCCTCAGTTCACCTTCACTGCAAGGACTTCTCCGAGTAAGAGCCGGCAAGGTTACATTAGACAGTTCATCGTCCTCCGAGTAGAACACTTTCACTAAGTCAATGACCTGTCAAACTGGTGTGTTCCTCTCAAATTATATGATTTAAAAACAGCACTTTTGCAAGCGCAAATCCCCAAAAACCTTGGTGATAAATTGTGGAGTGGCCTATACCCGGGAGTTCTTAGGAGTTAAAAGTTGGCGATTTTTTCTTATGATATCGGACTGTGAGTTCTTAATAGGCCTAGTTTGATTTACTCAGTAGAAAAATGTCTTAATTATAGTTTACAAGTTTGTGGACATTTTATAAAACACTTTTCGAAAAGGGTTGAAAGGCACGTTAGACCTACTGTATATTAAAAAATCTGTCTAATTTCAATTTAAATTAAAACTATGGGAAATTATTCTAAAAAGGAAAATAGCTTAAACTAACACTGAACGCAGTCCTATTTTTAAATGCATAACTTAGGTAGGAATTTTATCAACGTAATTTGTAAATAAAAACTGAAACCAATACTTAAATAACTAATTAAACAAATAAGTTGACTCCTACTTAGGTTTACTAGTAGGTAGCTTTAGCCATGACTAGTTAAATTAATGGCAATCATATATACAGGGTTTTTTATTTCAAGATTCTGAATCAACCACTTGACGGATTTTCATGATTTTTGTGTTAAAAAGGAAGATAATTTTGAGAACGAGGGAATGTCGAAGCCATAATTTTAGTTTATGGTTTCAGTTTTTAAGAAATTAAGTTTTAAATGTTTAAAAGAATAGCAGCCGACGCTAACATTCTCCCCTAGCTTTTAGTATAATACCATTTGCTTTTAACGTAACAGCTGTAAATTCAACATTCAGCATTTGGATGAAAATTAAATGTACGTAGAATTGACTTATTTTATACTACTAGGAGAAACCCGTCGAAATCGACGGTTAGGGGCCTCTTCGTTTATATATGGGCGTGCGACTTCATTGGCAACAAATAATGCAAATAAATGACATAGCAAAGTGGCATTTTCAAAAAGAAAGAATACTGTAAATTGGCTGTTACGTAAATATTAATGTTAAAATGCATTGTTAATCAACGTATCGTATAAAGGATGATGTGGTCTAGTTTAAAAGGAATATGGCCTTTCTGTCATTACAGTAGCTGATCAAATAGTATTTACTCATTGGGCCATTTTTTACAGCCAAAATGTCGTGTTATTTTCAAAAATGCTACCAACCCAGTGGGCCACGGTCCGTAATATAGGCCACTGCAAATAATTTGTCAAAGATAGGTACTGGTACCATTCTAGGCAAGGTTTCTTTCTGTGTTCGGATGTTGTTAGACACGATAAGAGCTCATCAATTTTTAAATCAGTAAATAACATTGCAAATACTTCTTTTAGACAATTCAATAGCTCCCAATTAACGTGTGTTGTTTAAAATACAATTTAAGAATTAACAGCTGTTTAATTCAAAAGTATTATCCACATGATGAAAATGTAAACAAATCTGTGGAGGGATCTTTAAATGCTTCTGGGGCAGAGCCCTAACGGGATTCACCTCGTGTTTCTTTTGGTAACTCATCTAGAGACCAAGACCTTTCTTTGGACACCTCTACCAAGTTTCTACGCCCAGTCGTTCTCTCAAATTAGTGGAGACAAAGTTTCCAATTAAATATTTAGATTTCCCCATGTTAATCTTATGGGAGAAAATCCAACTTTGATGGAAGATCCTGCCCAAACTAATAAAAATTTCAAAAAATTAAAAAGACTTTGCAAAACTACAGATCAGGGCCATTCTTTTGACACTTTAATTATCAAAATCGGTCAAAAAATGAGGGAGGAGTTCTGTTTACAAAAATCGGCTTAGCGTATTATATATATAGATATGTGTAATGCCATAATCATTAACCCTCCGAGTGTTATTTGTCGATGCAGCGACACATAACACACTTTGTGTAGTGTTTTGTGTCGCTGCAGCGACTCACAAACACTGTTTACGGCGAAGGCTCTACGACTGACAAAATCGGATTGAACTGGATCGAGTTAGGTATCGTTTTATTTTACAGATTCAGAGCTTTCTCCGGAGGTCTGTCTCTAAGCGCTATTCATTTTAGTTCCGAAAATATTGTAGCAGACAGCTGACGTGCGTATTTTTAAACAGCTTGATTAACCTCGGACCGATGACTGATGTGTTTTATTACGTTTATCATTGTTTTAGTGTTAAAAATCAAAAGTAGTGATATACGTGGTGCATTATAAGAAGATTTAAGTGATTTTGAAGGGCTGGTTGATGATCCTGAAGAAGTAGGTAGTGATATTGATGTAAATTATCAGCCAGATTCCTAGCTACATGTTAGGCTATGCATTCTTAGCTAATTGCTATGTAGCCTACTGAAATCTGTTTTTTGCCCATAACTTATTTATTTGCAAATCTACTTCCTTATATTATTATATATTTGTAATCCTCATAAAATTTAGAACAAAGTGGCTATTTTCAAATATTTATAGGCCTATAGGCTAATTTATACAATTTCATTGAGCGCGAACTTTTTTTTTTGAAAATTTTCCAAAATATTTTTTTTTTATCTAACATTTTTTTTTTAAACAAATGTTCCTTATGTTCTATGTATAATATTGAAGCCCATGATTTTCCAAACAAAAAGGCTATATAGAACAGTATAATTAACATTGTTTTCAAGCTTCTCAGATCCGTTTTAATAAAACCTTGCAAATGAGCAAAAAATAGGCAGACATTAAGGCCAAAACAACGGACACTCGGAGGGTTAATTTATTCGGTGAGAGAATGATAGTTTATTTAAATATAGGTACCGGTACTTCTATATATAGGCTACTAGATGTTCTAATTTTTTTTTTATCAGTCTTAATATTAAGTTTGTTTAGTGCAATATAATTTGTTATAACTTACAGCTGGTTGAATTAAAAAATGTTCTATAGAACTATGAGGTTAGTTTATTTACTCGTGATTTAGTTGTTGATTATAGGAAATAAGTAAGAATCTATAACCATTGCTGTATACGAATCGAAGCTCAAGAATCTTCAAAAGAAAGCTTATGAAAATTATTTTACTAGGCTACTCAACTTTTTGAGGAAAGGTTGGGAAAATAACAATGATCACATGTCACAATTCATCTTGGCAGCTTTTTCTTTAACTATAAATTTTGAACTGCTTAAACTATGCTTAAATTAGTAATAGACACACTATATAGGCCTACAGTTTTAATGGACCACTCGATTCCCGTACGTAGGACGGGCCAACAGCTTGTTTTTTTTTTATTCCTAATCGAATTTGGGCTCTTTTTAGTCCTCTTTAGTTTAGTACAAAGTGCAAGTTCAGCTGAGTGGCAATAATAAAGGACCAGCCGCCTCACCTTAAAAAAAGACTTGGGACCAAGGTCCACATAAGTTTGAAAAGTTAAAAACTTGTCAACAGCCAAGTATCTGAAGTCTGATTATTAACAGTAGGAGTAGCCTAGATTAATTATTGTGATTAGACCTGTGTCAAAATCCCCCCCCCCCCCCCATTCTGCAGACTAAGAGAATTTCCATACTTGGCTGGATTTCCACTAAAGTGTTCCCTTAATTTGATAAATTAAGTTATTTAAGTTACAATTTAAGGGAAAGAACGGTAAATCTAATTTATTTCAATAAAATAGGTTTGTTGCTACAAGTAAGGTACCGGTAACCTAATAGGCCTACTTAAGGTTTTTTCCCCTTGAAATGTTGATACTTAGTAAAGTATATAAAATAAACAAATTATTGGCCAAATTCTATTCATAGGCCTGCTTAGAATTGGAAAACCTAATTTTAACCCAATAAACCCAGACAATTCAATCCTAAAAAGATTGGGAGACTTCCGTAGGCCTATCTGTTGGCACTAACAACCGAATAAAATAACTTATCGCTCGATATACCGGTATCGATTATTCGATACCATCGAATGAAACAATCGATATTTTCATTCGGGGTACAGTTTCTTAACTCGGGCTATGCTTATATCGATTGAAACTATCGATTTGATTAAGATAGTAAATAAACCATCATAAGATTTTTTCATCATCAGCAAGTTTGGTTGGTTAGGTTATGACAGTTTAATTTCATAATAGATAGGCTATATTTTAAAATATCGATTAGCCTAACTTATTAATCAACAATTTCAATTCGATAGGCCTATTAGGCCTAGCATAGCCCAGTTAAGAAACTGCAAACTTACCCTCGTTCGGTTGTTTGTGCCAACAGATACGGAAGTCTACCCAAAAGATTCTAGTTTGTGGTATGAGCTTATTTGCGTTGTATTAAGATAAAACTATAACTCACTTACTATAAGCAAAACAACTATTCATAGGCCTATGGCTTACTGGATAAATAGGCTACAGTAACTAAAACGCAAGTAACTTAGTATATGACCTAGGCCTAACTGTATTCCTACTCACCTATTCTAAGTCCTACCACAGGTTTAGTTTTCTTCCCCAACACTGGTAGACACCTAGCGTTCACAAACTAATGTAAATGTTTATCAGCTGTCCAAAGGGCCATTTTAAGGAACTGGTGCCACTTAACGTCGTTTATATTTCAAATTGATAACGCACAGTGTACAGCTAAATACCACCTAGAATAGCAAAGCAATTATTGTTTTACTAATTTTACATTCGATTATTCTGTCCACTCGGTACTAGGCTACGGCACTAGAGCAACTGTCCGATTTCACGGTGACCAGTCACTAGTCAGTGACAGTTGACACAAAATAAATACAACACAAACACAATTAATAATTACTTCACAACTCTACAATCGAACAAATTAAACACAAATAATTAATGTGGACAGGAGTCTCCACCGACACAACAGAGAAGACATGACATGACAAGACGAAGACAATTAAATCGACACTATGAAAATGACAAATGACATGACATGAGCATGGGCTGGTCTGGTACTTTGTGGAGAAGAGAAGAATAGAAGATAGTTGCTCATTTGAGTAAAACCATTGAGTATATTATGCGTACGTGTATTAAGTATATACGTATGTACTCGATATACTCAAGCTCGGGTCAAAAAGAGTCACTTTACGCCCCAAAAAGAACCAATCATTTGCTTGAAGTGCTTTTTCATATACAACTTATTTTGTGCTTGTAGTTTGCACCCACAAGGTGTCCACAAGCAAATATACGAACCTATCAACCTAACATTCCTCAATAATCATATCCTATCCTATCACAATCCCAATCTTTAAAAAAAGTAAAAAGTAACGTTTAGTTAGTATGTTGTGCCTCCATGTGATTATGTGCAAGTACTCTTTTTATAATGCAATATTAACCCGAATATTGCAGAGGTCAGAGGACAATGGTGGAAGGAAAACGGCAGAGTGGCAGAGGACAGGAGATCCTGCAGCCCTGGAGGCACATGTTTGGCGATGGCGAGGCCAAAGCACGGCCGCCTTTAATTCCAGGCCGTGGCCTTCGAAGTGGCAACGTCGCAAGTGGTGTTGTAACAGCTGTTTTGTTTGGAAGCAGCTAATGGTATTTAGGAAAGATTGGTTACTGGACTAGCCTATGACAATATTGACTCTGCTTAAAAATGTACAGATATAGATTTTTAATTCATGTTGTTTCTGTTTTCAATTCTGTATCAGTTATTTTCAATAATTTAATAAATTTATCTTCATAAATTTAAATTTTAATCAATAAAGTGCAAATTAATGAGCTGATGTCACCTGTGAGCCACGTTATCTTATGGGACGTCTGGCGCTAGCCAACACCACTTGCGACGTTGCCAATTCTACCAGGCTTAAAATATAAAGTCATTGGAAAACGTATAATTCTAGTGCATTATGAAATATCCATTAAAAGATTATTATAAATAAAAAATTCCTTCAACATCACATGATACAGAAAAGGAAATACAATGTGTCATAGCAGGTGACAAATTAAAAAGTCCTGAAACTTGCCATGCAAAGAGTGAAAACCGAACAGCACACTCGGCAAACCATCATAGTAAAAAAAAGTACTTCCATATTATTTTTTTAGTTTAAAAAATTAATCAATAGTTTCAATTGGGCTAGCCAGGAGGAGACATTCCACGCCCCTTTTGATCTGTTTACTTGGAAGGTTGCGGGCTGTACAAGAGAACATTGAATAGTTTAAGGCTTACAATGTCATAGTTTTTTTTTTTGTAATTTCTTAAGCCTAACATAGGGTACCGTACATTTACATCCTGTTTACTTCTCACATTGTACGAGTGGATGTCGCTCCTGAGCTCGAGAGCGCCCACCTCCTCCTTAATTTTGATTTTGATGAAGGTCTGAAAGATAAAAAAAAATTTAAACTGTCATGATGAGGGATTTAGCCTTAAAGATAGGCTCACAGTGATCCAGGCGCTTTCCTCCTGCTACTATTCTTATAGCCTTTTTTTAGAAGTAGGACCCTCTCAACTTCAGGAGTGGCACCCCAAAGTCTTAGTCGATATGTGATGATGCTCTGGAAAAAGGCCACATACGCAGTCCTTAACCAGCCTTTTGGTACACACAGTACCTTAACTTACAAAGTAAGTGCACAACTCTTAACTCACGAGTCGGCTAGCAGAACCTAGCACGTTTAAGATTAAGTTGGAATTCCTTTTTTATGTGAAGGTATCTCGACTTTGTTTCGTCGGTTGGTGAATTTCTATATGTCATAGGCTAGAAGCTTCCATTTTTTAAGTGTAGCAAGTTTGGGTCTTTCCAATAAGGAAAACTAGGTTTTTTGGGCTTAACACGAGGTCGCCTGGCCCTTTTAGGGAAACACTCACAAACACTCATGTTAAGAGGAAAGTCTTAAAAAAGTGTATAAAGTTTCCACAAGTCTTATTTCCACAAGGCGGAAATAGTCCGCAATGCCAATCTATTTTTAATTAGAATGTTTATGTTCAGATCACCCCCCAAGATAACATGGTTTGTTTTCCCTTCCCATGACAGTCTTTCAAGGCTATCTAAACAGAGCAGGGTCTCCATCAGGGGACCTATAGATACCTATTACTGAATTACATTTATGTCCAGCAATTTTAAGCAAACATACTCGTGGTGCAACTCACGACCAAAAGAACATTTTTATTTACATTTTATTTTTCTACATTATTCATTTTTCTAAAAATGTTTATGCATGTTTACTATTGTCTAGCAAGATGAATCTGTATCTGGCTTATATATTTTTATAAATATTTATCTTGTAACTTGAATCTCATGTATTGTTGACTGTAAAAATTGTGTTTACCGTATAAATAAATAAACACACATCGATCACCGTAACCGAGTCCATAATACAGGGGGCTCCTCTCCAAAGAAAACAACATCACAGTTTTTTTTATGGAGGGTCTACAAAAAGCTGAAATAGGAAATAGGGGAGAACCCACTTAAATTCACTAGCTTGATTTGCTCCTCATTCTGCCATTTCTGTAAAACACAACAGTTTGTATTCAACAACAGCAAGTGTCTTCTCTAGTTCCGGTAGGTATAATACCATTGACTATCTATATACCTTAACAGGTTATGGTATATGATGGTCAAAGGTAATATCATTGATAGTCAATATGGTTAATAAGCAACCTAAATTCCAAATAAAATGTAAAATATTGAACCACACGACTGCATTGTGTATACCGAGCAACAGCAATGCCAAATTTGGTAAAAAAGTTCAGCTAGTCAGCTCCCAGCTGAGCTGTTGCTGATGCCTAATGCCATAGATTAAACATACTCCCTTGTTTAATCTATGCTAAGGAAGGCCAACACCCAACACCGAATGAACACCCGACTGCCGTTGTTTTGTCAGTTGTTTTGTTTATGTTTGTTGCTGCTACTTTTGTGCTACTGCTACTGATATCATCAAACCTATCCTACTACTTTGTATCTGTTAGGTTAAGTTATATTTTATTAAATTTTTCAAGCAGAAGTGACCTAAAAATTTATCATTTGGTATACATTTCCCGCAAAGAAAATGACAACTTTAAGGCCGTTCACTTGCAACGATCTGTTAAAATACAATAAAGTGTAAGTTTATTTTTACCTTTAATAAATTGTTGTAAAGTTAGGTTACCTATCGAAACTCTTCTCTTTCACCGATAAATCAGTAATGGTGTGAAACTTTGATATAGGCCACTCTATCATATTTATAAAAAATATAAAACCAAAATAGGCCTAGGCCCCCCCTAGATATCAATTTATGGCCAAGGCCTAAGTTATTCCTTGAACTTATTTGCCTAAGTTAAGTTACTTTACATTTGGATCAAATTCAATTCAAATAGGATTCTATTCTTTAGTTATGCATTTATTTGTATAATGGTACAACAAAAATATAGTGTCAAAGTTAACAAAAAGAAATAGTCCTCCCTAGGTAATGACAATAATCCAATAGCCTATATACAAAAACAGATACACTAAATTTGTCTAAATTAATAGTAGCCTAAGTTTACTAATAGGGTCTAGTTAATTTAATTTTTATGGTAATGTAAATAGCCTACACTTATTAATTCATTTTCTTATCCATTGATTAGACTTTTACTCAAGAACAATTTTAGGCCTACTCTTAACTTTGTGGTTTACAAAAAAATCAGTTTAAGAATATGGAGCTTATTTTACCAAATATTCTTTCAAGTCATTCTTAAACTTTTATTTATGTTTAGTTCAACAAGAAATTACTTTGGTAACTTAGATGAAACAAAAATGTAGTTCCCATATATTCTGTTTTCTTTTTTAAAAATTCTTCAAATTGTGTGGTTCTACCGGTCTATTTAATCTGGCGTTCTACTGTGAAGGTTGTTTAGAAAATTTTGATTTTCTCCCTGTTTTACATACATTAGCTACTGTCTCTACAACGTAGAGAGCATAAAGGGTTAGGATTTTTGTGGAAATAAATAAATGTTTAACAGATTGATCCCTTTTCAAATTACTGTATAGCCATATAAAATACATATATAATTCTTAACACGTTTTTTTGTTTCCGCAATATTTTAATCTAAATTTGTCTTAGTTGTTGCTCCGTAAATGCTTATTCCTTGGGACAGGTGAGAATGAATTAAAGAATAATAAACTGTTTTAAATGTTTCTAATTTAACTTATCAAGTAATTTATTTCCACACTAACACAATTTTACAAAAAGGTAACATAGGCCTACAGTCATAAAATCGTAGGTAAAACTTTGTGATAATAACTTAACTTATAAAAATTTTTTGCCCTGGTAAGCTAGGTACGAGCCCGGAATTGTTTTTCACATTAACTTATTTCAGGCTACTTAGACCTAAGTTAGGGGTTACTGCATATAATCTCTTAGATACAATCCATTGGTGGTTTGAACCATAGACAAAAAGAAATAAATACCCAGGATCTCAGGAACCGTAGTAGCTCTACCACTAAAAACTTATCAAAACAGTATTTTCAATATCAATCTATGACTTCTCTACTTTCGATGAGCACATCATAACTTATGCCTTTATTGTTTTCATTCATAGAGTGTATTTAATGTTGGCCTAGTGTAACTCAATCAGAAAGTATCAAAAACAACCTAACCCACATGATTCAATAGCAATAAAACTGAGAAGTTAGGCCTAAGTAAATCACATAAAAATAGAATGTAGAAAGTTACCTAGGTAGTTTATGTTTTGAGTTTTGCATACTAACTTAGGTCACTAATTTTCAGCCTTCAAGTAAGTTCCTAATAATAAAAGGTTAAATTACCTGTGTCCGCCAGTCGATCCTTATGTGCTGTGTCCTATTACAGGATATGCATTTCGGCAGAATAAATTGCCATCATCAGTCCTAATATAAGATCTTGATCTTCCCCGTTGGGTGCGTCTTGAAGTTTTGAAACACGTACACGAACTTTACACTTACCACATAATATAGGTATATACATTACGAATAAAAGACAGACTGGTAGACCATTTATCAAGAGGTTTAAAGAACACCTTCCCAAAAATATTTTAACACTGCGACGCTACTTTCTGCACTGGGAAAAAAATATTAAAAGTGCAGTCAGTCGCAACCGTTTGCCGGGGATAGCTCAGCCTACAATGGCTGGGTAAAGTTCCAGGGTCTGCGATAAGGTCAGGGAAACCACTAGGCCAAAAGCCGGGTCTAACCGGTATAGGACTGGCTCATACACGGGCACTGTGAACAAGTCAAAAACAAGTCACCAAAACAAACGTGCAATAATCACCACCAGGCCTACGCCGATTCTCCACACTCCTAGGGGGTCGTTGCTGACTACGCAACTCGGGCTTCGTCCTAACTATCCAATAGTTAAGCCCAGAGTGCCTAAAACACGGTGAGTTACACGACGACTTGCCAATAAAAACCACAATGCGAGTTATCACCAGGCGGGGTCTACTAGGCCACTAAACTGCAATACACAACTCTAATGCCCAAGCTAAGAATCAACCAGTTTACTCAATAATAATACCGTATAATAATACAAGTGCACTAAAGGCAGAGTGACTGCACCACTAGTAGCTGGTCTCAATAAATACCAAGCAAAACTAGATGTCAATTGCACTACTATTAAATTATTGAGCTACTTAGTAATAGATAAATAAATATTAAATACGTTCCAAACACTAGATAAATATATTATCTGATAGCCGGTACTCCGCTATCCAAGCTACCAAGATAACGTGTTGGATTACCAAACAAGCTGTTCAGGTTAAATTAAAATAATCAAATGAGTAAACAATAACAACCCTACTACTGCTACTGCTACTACCAACTTTATGTTACTTAGCTGGGCTTCTGTTAATGAGTGAAAATTTAAAAACGTACGTTTTCAGGAAAAACACTTTGCAAATGTTTTCCCCCTTTTTTCAAAACTTTTATTATATTTTTGATTTCATTAACATTTAAAGTTTCATAAAATGTCCATGGTAACGCAATATCTTTGGTAGTTTTTTTTAAAAAAGAGCATCTTTAGTGGAAAAACACAAAATCCTGTCACGACCATAACAGACGTTTAAATGAATATTAAAAATAGTTAATATTATTTTTATAACTATGTTTTGCTATAAACTAATTTACTTTTATGACCATTATACATTAAAAAGGTCACTGAGCTTTTAGTATATTTGGTATTTCTAGAAAAAAATAAAAAACTCAAAAAAATTGAAAAAAAGCCAATACAATCTTTTTAAGTTTGTATAACTCCAAAAAAACTTACCTGAGACCCGAAAAATCGTTATGTTTGCATAGAGGCGTGCTTCTTTTGTGTATAAAACATTGAAATATGACGATATTTTAATTTTTGAAATTTTTATGATAGAAATCATAAACGTGATGGTCAGGGACAAGCGGTACGGTCGTGAATTTTCTAAAAAAATCTAAATCTTTCTAAACAATCCTCTAATTATACTGTTAGTTATAATAAAAATATGTGTTTCAATTGAACTAAACTGTTCAAATTACAATTATATTAAAGTTATTGTCACGACCAAACACACTATAATCCATAAGGCTGGATAGGTCGTGAAAAAACCCGCGATGGTCGTGAAACTTTGGTCGTGAAATTACGTGTTATTTGGCTCTGTTCTGGCGGTAGCTCTGCACCTCATGTTCGAGGATACAAAGTGGACTTCTAGGTTAATCTAGCAATTGATATATCTTATAAACAAAAATTAACACCATATCTACTTCATCGAATGACTATGTACGGTCATGGACACACCAAAATTACAAAAAACACAACCTTTCCTGTATTTATCTTGTAATTCCTCCTTTCAACTCGAAACGACCGGCACTACAATCCTGACGTACACCCCGAACTAGTCTCTAAAACCAACTGACTCCATCAACGCCAGGCTTGCCACTGTCGTGCTCCAAAGTTGAAAATTTTTCCCAAATGGTCGTGACGCCAAATCGAGGGACAGCCTTATTATGTCATGGTAGTCAGTTTGCAATGACAATAAAATTACATTATGCTCCTTTTTTGTAAGTTTAATAACCATTGATGACATAAAAATATGGCTTTATATATTTCGGCATGAATAATTAGTCTAAAAACAGCGTGAAAGTTGGAAAATGTACCCTAGGGACACGTCATGGTCGTGAATTTCGAGACTTTAAAAATACGAAAAAAATACCTAGAACCTATTTAAAACCAAATAAATGTGTGTAACATGTTGCCCCCGTCCCAAAAAATATTAAAACACATAATAATAAACTACAAATTTAGTAGCTACGAAGTAAAAGGCCAGGGACATGAAAACGTACGTTTTTAAATTTTCACTCTAATATGCTAATATTATTAGCTAGAGATATAAAGTCAATGCTACTAGCCTACTGGCCACGTGTTTCCAACTACGCACGCTAAATCGTGCAGCCTAGGTTTGTCGGGCCTCGGAGTTATTAGTAATATAACTAACTCTTGGTACAACGCAAAATAATAACTACTACTGTCAATAAATTATATTATTTGCGCTCTAGCACCAGCCCAGAACCGTCAGGAATACACTTTAATATTATTCCTGACTAATATAAATCCTAACTACCGTCAGGCTTTGACCAGCACGGTTACAACTCTAACTCTCGCAATCAAATCAGATATTAATATTATCAACTCTTAAACCAAAATGTAAGTAACGTCGTCCACTCACCAATAGTGGGTCTGTACCCAACTTACACCAATACTCGGCGCGATCACACCACCAAAGTACTCCGACACCACTGTCACGTACACTCCTCTCTACGTACACCGTACACCACCGACGTCTCAGCCAGACACCAACACTGCCTTCTTCACTGTCCGGGATCCACCACTAGAATGTCCGTCCTAGGCTATCCTGAACATCTAGGATATCCCAGGCTTCTCGGCACTGATAAGCCGGGTCAAAGGGCGCTCGCTAGCTTCGCCGCCGCCGCTAGCTCACCTCAACAATCGGTGCGCGGCCAAATAGCAAAAATATACCCCCCTAGGGAAAATAGCTCGTTACAACACAACAATCCAATTTTGCCGAGCACCTAATTAGCAGCAATAACAGTTATTCCAGCCTAAATGAAAATTTAAAACCTTTACACATTTGTAAAAAAAGTCGAGTAATGTCAGCACTAGAGCCATATGAAATTTATAGAGCATATAAAACCATCCCCCACAACCTCCTGAACGATAAAAGTACACTACAATCCAACATATTATTCGAATCATTGTTAAAATTGAATGAAACGCCACCTGTAGCTACAAAGGACAGAGACAGGACAAAGGTCAACTCTGCAAGTAACGTCTGACCCCAGTCCAGACTCGACACACGACCGACGCGCGTCTGTCTACATGTCCGTAGTAACTAAAATAAAAGTAGGCCTACAGTGTATTTGTCTTTTATTCGTAATGTATATAAGTGTTAAGTTCGTGTACGTGTTTCAAAACTTCAAGACGCACCCAACGGGGAAGATCAAGATCTTATATTAGGACTGATGATGGCAATTTATTCTGCCGAAATGCATATCCTGTAATAGGACACAGCACATAAGGATCGACTGGCGGACACAGGTAATTTAACCTTTTATTGTATGTCGTACCGATCCGGAACAACAACAAACAACATAAAATGAAGTTCCTAATTCATATTAACTTACAACATTAATGAATAAAATACCCCCGCCGCAGCAAACCTGCAGACTAAGCGAATTTCCATTTGCCTGATTGGATTTAGACTAAAATGTCTCCTTAAAAATATCACATTTATTCCCTATTTAAATAGAATCAGTTTAACACATACTTAGGTTTGCTGCAACAGGGAGGGTAAAAGTGTTTTTTTTATGTAAAATGTTAATAGTTAGTAAGAAATAAAAACATTTTCCAAATTTGGGCAAAATATGTTAATAAACAAGCACACTACAATGGTTTACTTATTCTCCATAAGAATAACATGGGAATTTTAAATTAACAATTTTTTGGAATTTTCTCCGTAACCATTAGGCGCATTATAACGCTTCAATATACTAAATTATTTGTTTTTTTAAGCTCTACAAAATAGTTTGGAAAGAAATTTCAAAATTTTATGTTTTTTGGGTCAAAAATAGGAAAAACCCATTTTTACCCCATAAAAGCCCCCATAAACCCCTGTTCCCATGGTCTGATCATGCTGGTTCGCGAACTCGTTCGAATAAACGTAGGTTTACACGTTTGTACCAAATTTCATCAAAATCGGATCATTTTTGCTTGAGTTATCGCGCTAACGGACACATATATATATACGGTATATATAAATATATATTTTGTTATTGTATACATCAATGAGGGCTACTTTAAATCAACAACAACAACATTACTGTAGTACTGGTACTGGTACTGTGGTATTTTGATTTGCTTAGTAATAAATATATATATATATGAATTTGAACGGATGGTGTTTTTGGCCTCTAGGGACCTCAAAACGAAAAAAAAATCGGTTCCGGGTCCAGGTCTTACCATGAGTACTACGGTAATAGCTTATTCCCTATATGGGAAATTCGCTAAAAGATGGAAATAATTATAAGAGTTTAAAATAACAACTTTTAAATACTGTAGCCTAATAAGGACCAATAAAACATCTCTAATAATGGATTTTTCTTTTCAGGAACATGGATCCGTTAACTGAAACTGTATCCTTTAAAACAAATTACAAAAAACTCGTAAGATTTTTTGTCTTTTGGGTGAATGAATCTTTTCTTTTATGGTAAATCCGGAATTGAAGGTATTACTTCCTCCTCCTCTGTACTGTAGGCCTACACCTCATCCAAGTCACATTGTGCGTCATAGCGTATTTGTGGATCGTCTTCATCTGGTGGATTGGTGCATGAAACACCTTTACAGTGGTAGCAAATTGTTGTACATTTGACTCTGTTCTTCCTACAAGTGCAACCACTGTTACACCCTTTTGCACACATACATGAGATTGTGTTAAGAAGCTCTGGTGGTGCATGCAGCTTTAACATTTGTTGGATTTGGAAGTATCTCATGCTTAGATGACTTCCAGCCCCAATCAGTAGGCAATCACAGCCACTAAATGCACGTAGAAACAGGATGTTGCTTTTAACGGTCTAAGAGTATTTGAAGCTCATTGGGGAATTAATCTTATTGTTGGACTGAGTGATTATTTTGTGGCGATTATTTCATCTGCCGATCTGTGCATCATCTATTAGAATTGAAGCGCACACACAGGCGATCGAGAATTGCGCAGATTTTGAAATCTGCATTTTGCTGCAGATTCATAGGCGAGGCGATTGTCGCCCAGAAATCTGTGATGTACATGTTGTTATTAGTCTGCGCACATGGTTGACTAAAAAATCGGCCAGTCGCTCGTTTCGTTGTTCTCCTCAGGAGTCAGTCAAAGTTTCAGCATGAGTTGTGTTGTCGTAGTTTTTCTTGCTTTTTACCATGGCAGTGGCAGAGTTTGATACTGAACTATTTATAAATGAAATAGAAAAAAGGACGCGGCTCAGGGCCGTCCGAAGGGGGGGGGGACCGGGGCAAGCTGCCCCGGGCGCCGTGGCTGAGGGGGCGCCACGCAGCGGCTAGTTGTATGAACATAGTATTAAAATATGCGAATGGGACTATTACTTGGGGGGGAGTGGGCGCCACAACCACGTTTGCTCCGGGCGCCGCCAACCCTAGGGACGGCCCTGACGCGGCTTAACATTGTGTGTCTTGTGAGAGAATCATCAAATATAACAATTTTGTTTGAAAATTATGATGATATTGTACAGGTTTTGTTGAGCTTTATATTTTTTCTTAACTATGTCAGTATGGAATATCCTTCTACATGCAATATCTTGCTCACTGGCCCGAATACTTCCAAGTTGTTGAGGCACCCAATGGAGAAATTATGGGATACAGTAAGTTATGATTTTCCAATTTTATTTTTTGTGACACTATTAAAATTTGTTGAGGAATGGTTGCAGAGATAAAGTTCTGAATATCCATAGAAAAAAACTGTGTGTTTAAAAACGAAAAAATTGTGTTTCCCCCCAAAAAAATGGAAATTTAATTGTGTTTTCCAATGGTAGAAACTACTCTCAAGTATCTAAATTTGGCCTAAACGGATTTTTTCGCCTAGTTTCCGCAAATTCAATAAGGCGTTCCCTTAAACTCACTGCGAGCAGCTACATTTAAAATAGGTTTATCATGCAAGTAATTTGGTTCTTTTTCATTTGAACGATAGGCCTACTGGTGTTTGGCTGGAATCATGTTCACTAAGGTCAGATGCAAACTGTTGTATTCAAACTTGGCGCAACGCTAACAAGCATACTTAAATGAATACTCATTATCTATCTGCTATGTTTATGCAACATAAATGTTTGTTGACTCCAGTTGTACCATGTTTCAGTTATGGGCAAGAGTGAGGGCCATGGTGAGAACTGGCACGGCCATGTTACAGCCCTCACCGTATCTAACATGTACCGGAGGCTCGGCGTGGCGGCAACACTCATGAACTCTCTGGAGAAAATATCTGAAACGTGAGTTGCACCTCGACCTGACGGTACAAAGTCTCAATTTCAATTACTTCCTTGAATGATACAAATTACTTTACTAACAACTCTAATTTGTTGCAGAAAGCGTTGCTACTTTGTGGATCTGTTTGTCAGGGTCAGTAACATAGTGGCTATCACCATGTATCAGGCCCTCGGCTATATTGTGTATCGAACTGTGTTGGAATACTACTCAGGAGATCCTGATGAGGACGCCTACGGTATGTGCATGTTTTATACCAATTTCTCAAGTTTGAAGACATACTTTATAGTTTTTTATATATTAGAAACTACTTCCAAGTCCAGTTATATTAGAACTACATCGAAGTCCCCAAATCGGTATACTGTACAATGATCGTCTTCTACAATCGTAGACAAATATTTGTTAAGTGAATATAAGTTAAATGCCTGTATATTTTGGTAACACAAATGGTTGTAGTAGCAACTAGTTTCAGCTCAACAATGGAGCTCAATATAAACCAGGCATTACAAGGATATTGTCACTTCTTCTGAAGGTCGTCACAGCTCACACATATAATTTACAAAACTTTGAAACATTAAAAACACAATACAACGACACGATTGGCAGAAGTTTACGTTTAGTCTCAGAATCTAGTTGAAACTAGTTGCTGCCGCAACCATTTGGATTACCAAAAACACAGGTATTTAACCACTTATATTGTACATTGGTAATCCGGAGGCTATTCATATTGAAAGATTAAAATATTTGTGACCATCCACCACAATGTTGGCAACACCTGCGATTATCTCCTGTGATCACATTCTTCCTACTGCATAATCTTAGGAGGAAACCAACAGAATTGTTAATGGTTGATAATTTTTCTAAATTCCCCAATTCACGTTTAATTCTCAGACTTTTTCCTGGTCAGCATTTTCTATAAATACCATTTAGTACAGGTATATCAGCTAATATTAGTATAAACCATATATTATTCTTACATTTTCAGATATGAGGAAGGCCTTAAGCAGAGACAAGGAGAAGAAGTCCATAATTCCTCTAGACCACCCTGTCAGACCTGAGGAAGTTGACTGATATATATAAAAAGGGCGTTATCAGTTATTTGAATTGATTGTGTTATTTTAACTTATTTGAACTTTTTTAATTGTGTCTAAGTTAATTTGTTTATTTTCTAAAAGGAAATGAATATAATTCAATTTTGTTGTTTTTTTTTACTTAGGTTTTAATTGGTCAAAGAATGAATTTAATTTGTTTCATGAAAAATTAGAACAGAATATAATTTTTTCCTATCTTTATATAGTTTTATGATCTTAAAGATAATTAATATGGAAAGTGTTTGGAATGTTTGAATTTTATTGACTGTTTACTATCACTATGTAATCTATCCATGCAATTAAATAGATTTAAATAAATGGCATCAGCAATCTGACACATACTTTCTCCCATTAGCTTGTCAACAACCTTTTTCATGGGTTTTAAGCTGTGGGAGTAACTATGATATTTTAAATAGGAAAAATCACAACAGTTGGAATAACTTTTGAACCGTAATTTTTACAGCTATGGTAGTTCAGAATTTAAAGGGCTATAACATACAAAAATTTTATAAAATTCGTTCAGGCTATTTTTGAGAAAATTCAAATGTTCTGTTATTTTATGGGAAAATCGTTAAAAGTCCAAATACAAAATTTAAAAACCCTGGAGATACCATGGATTAGTCCCTAACATACCAAATTTCATCAATATCTGACCACATGCTTGGTCTGTAGCTCTATACACCTCCACACACACCGACATCACTTCGAAAACCCCTTTTTTGAGTCCAGGGGGATTTTAATTTTATTTTTGATGAAAAAAAATGGTATAAGGGGAGAAGTAAAAATGCTTCCTTATATCTACAGCTGACATTTGGTGTTAATGTAATGATTTTATGCTAACATAACTTGGACGGGTAGCGTCGTTCTGTAATCCAGCTACTAGGTCACGAATTGTGGATATTTATAGGCATGCACTGTGGATGTGATGCTCCCTGGTGTGGATTAACGTCTGCACTAGTGACTTTCCGCAGTACTATCCTGATAATTAAACCAATTCGTCGATTACAAGGTAAAAATGTGGTTCATATTCCACTATAAACTGTAGGTCCCTTAGTTGCCATTGGGCTATTAATTAACAGCTGTGTCTAAGTAAAATGTCGGCCTTAGTCACTATAGTTCGGCCGCTTAGAAAGCGACCTCCTCCAGCATTGGTTTAGCATTAGCGCGCAGGTCGTTTTCTAAGCGGCCGAACTATAACAAGATTAGGCCACTCATCCCACACACTCATATTTGGGTTAAAATATGCACATAGTGGCGTCCCCATCTTAAACAATTGATAATTGATTAATTTTATATGTATCATTTTCTTATTGCATTTGATAATTTTCTTTTTTTAATCACCTCAACAGTCATAGATTGTATAAAGCCTTGTTGATATTAAGTCTGTTGAATGTATCAAAATAACTTGGACTTTAGTAAGATTATATTATAATTTGTACCATTGTACTACTGACTAAATAAATCAAAATTAATCTTGTGTAGTTAGTATTTAAAATATTTTGTTGATCCTTTCTATTCATCCCTCTCCATTTTGAATAAACTCAACAGAATATTTTTACTTTAAGAATTTGCAGATTGTTTCTAGAAAAATTATTGGGTGTTATTTTTACCGATAAGAAAAGTTTGCTACAAAAAAAAGTAAGCATGAGGTATACAAAAAAATTTACAGTAGGGATGTGGAACACAGCATAATCAGATGGAGGACAAATGTTTCTTACCGTATAGTTGAGGGTAACTAGTTTAGTTTATTATTTGTGTCAACAACCTTTCAGAGGAAGTGACAGAAACATGACTCAGGGTTCGTCTCAACTACAGTAGTTACCTTATAGCATCTTAGAGAGCCAAAGTGGAGGAATTTATATATTTTATTCTCAGTTACATATTGCCACCTTGGCCGTAGAGAGATATTTTGTATACATAAATACTACAAAAATCTTGTGCTGGCACAGGCTTGAAATATCAGTAAAAATTCAAAATAAACAAAGTTTATTTACATAACTATTTACAAATATAGTTTGGTCCAGATAATAATCTACAAAAAATCACTACACATAAACTTATAAATTTAGATGGATAAAAATTGTACAATTGAACATAAATAACTATGAATACTTGAACAGTAATAATAGTGATATTATTTTTAACTTTAGTTTAAAAAATTGATTGACTAGTCCAATTCCAATTCATATCAGTATTTAAATAAAACACCCACGAATCATAGTGATTGGAACTGCAAACTCTAAATAGAGTTGGTATAAAATAATTGTATGAGAAATATTTTTCCTGTTTTCCTGGCTTTTAAAATTTCTCTCAACTAAACATTGCAATTTGCAGCTTTCAAGTTTCATTGTCATGTTCTTCTTCGGGTGGCAAAGTCGTATCTTGCTGTTTCTTCCAGGCTTTGGCACTAGCCAGCAGTTTGAGGTTAGGCTTGGTCGCCTCATCCTCTGGGAAAATGTAATCGAAAAACTCTTCCCATCCTTCATCAGTCTGTAAAACAAAAATTTGCATTAGTAAGATGCATTTTTTGAAAAATTATGTGAGCAATAGAAAAAAATTGTACCTATTGCCTGCTTGGTACCTTAACCTTTTAACATTACCAATCTTTTATTCATCGTTTATATTTTACAGCTACAAGGAGTGTTTTGAATTTTTTTACTTTACCATGTTATTGTAACAGATTCAAAACAGGAAAGGTTAGTGGTTTGAATGGAAAACCCTAAAGACTTGAATAGGTTTCACTACAGAGAAACTATTATTTTGATAATTTTAACATGTTTACAATGTTTCTTTTTCATTTTATTTGTCAATGCTGCAGCCACTTTAGATGGGATAGTTGTTACTGTACAAACAGCCTACACTCCAGATTTTGTAGCATTATGAAAACTAGCAAGACATTTTTACCAATTTTATTGAAGTCCATAAAAAAAAAATTAAGCTGAATTCTAGTAACCTGACCATTTTATGTTGTAAAAATTAACTTCATTAGGCCTAGTCAAAACTAAGGTTTTAAATGTAAAGAAAGGGAACAGATTGTTAATTCATGGCTACATACCCCGTCTTGAGCCGTGACTTTCTGTCGTTTCTTGACTCGGCGGGGCATCTTGCTCTCCACTTTCTGTACTGTGGTGTCATCTCCATGATTGACTTCCATGTCCCTCCAAGCTTCCAACAGCAGAACTCTTTCTTCCTGAAAATGAAAAATTCAAAATTTATTTCACAGCCAAAACCAAAATTACAATTCAATAAGCTTTAAAATTATTATTTGAAGAAACTTATCGTGCAGTCTAAATGATAAATGAACAGCGTGTTTGATGGTTTGACACTCAATTTACCTTTTCTCCAAGATTTCTCAGGGCAGCATTGCCTCTCTCATAGACTCTACGAGCCAGAGCTATTTTGTCTATTTCTGCATCTTCTGCTGCACCGTGAGACATCTCAAACTGGGCGTAACTCATCCACACCTGAGATGAAATTCAACATTTAGTTACAAAGGTTAACAAAAATCTAGCTAAAATAAAAAAAAAACTATAAGCAAACTTTTTAATGAAATAAAAACATATTAAGTCTTTGTAAGAAACACATTACGAAACCTTACTCAAACTCCTCTGCAAAAGCTTCTTAAAAATAATGGTCAACATTGCATTGTGAAATTAATCACCTGTGAATTATCTATATCATATCATATCTAGATATCAACATCGAAAATCCAACCAATGCACATGCAGAAACAGTGTTCATCAAAGAACATTACTGACTATTAAAGTAGATCTTCAACAATAACAAACAGTTGAATTTTAAGCATTTCAGAAAGAGTATGGGTGCAGCCTTCTGCCAGTCTGTATGCTTGCTTATGGTGTTGTATCATAAAATTTAGTAGCAGTAAATAATAGGTACCACACTACTCAATATCCAGACAATATCAGAAGCCTGAAATTTGATTGCACACTGTGTTTTACTGCTAGAAGTCCACCAAAGTAGTTTCAAACATTCAAAGATGTGATAGTAAGCCAAACAACTCCCGTTTAGTTTTTTCAAGTTGGAAAAATTGACAATCAGTTATTTATATCAGCTCACACTGCCAGAGGCTCATTCATAAAAGTTAATTTTCCTACAGTCATCCGACAAAGTTGGCTTCCTTGTACTGTTTATAGTACAGAAAGCTGCTAATTGCTGCATATTTATACTTTGCCGTACGGTTTATACTTTGCCGCACATCAGGATTCTAACGAAACAACACAGAACAGCGTGGTTCTATTATGCACGTAATCCGTGTACGCTTGGAAATAGGTTGGCAACACTTAAAGATAATAATACTATGAGCAGCTGATTGACTATTATAACTACGATTTAACCTGTCATCTCGTGTTTATAGTTTCGGTATTTCTGAACTTTCTGGACTTTTCTTTTAAACGTTTTTAAAACATTCCTACGGTCTTAATAAACAAGAAAATACTTTTAAAAGTATTTTTTTAGGCGCGGAAACCACTTCAAATTACAAAAACATACGGAACTATATTCGCAAAACGCGGAGCACATTTCTTGTCGAGGAAAAATAGCGGAGTGATACGGACCGGGTACTACTTTCTCTAGGGCACATATTTGTGTTGCCTGCTGAACCTAAAATCGTGTTGTATAGTGTTTGATTTGAAAGACTAATTATTTATATGTTTTATAGTGACTGTAGGAAAAATATAATGTGTAACACGAGTGCAAAAGGTCTTTGCTGCACTCGAGATCCTTGCCCACTAGTTACACAAATAACTATTCCCTGCCACTGCATGGAAATTATCACATTGCCACACCTATAAACAGTGCGCAAAATCGCTCATTCCCACTCGCTAAATCTGCTGATTTCACTGATATTTCTATAAAATGCTAACATCTGGTAAGCAAACATAACCTAAAAGACATTGATATACCACTACAAAGTTAATCTGGTTGTTATAATAAGTTAATTATGGTGGTAGGAAAAATATTGTGTGTATTACGAGCACAAACAGTAATTGCCGCTCTTGAAATGTATGGTTGTACTCATCTAAAGCTTTGTGCGGACATCTTAACAGTTCTCGAGCGGCAATGACATACTTTGTGCTCTTACTACACAAATAGCAATTTCATCCTAAGACTGGCAATAGCCTTAACATGGGATTGTAATGTCTAGTTTTCTGACTAGTGGCTACCTTGACATGATGTGTCCGTTCCAGTAGTCGCTCGTACAGTTGCCGAGCCCTGGCCACCTCTCCCTGGCCGATCTCAAAGTCAATGTAGGCCTTCCACAGCAACTCAGGCATGTCTAGCCTTGGCTGCGATACGGCCAACTCATAGATGGCTCTCGCCCTGTCTATATCTCCCAGCAGCGTTTCCAACTCTGCAAACTAAGAAGACTTTATTTATCCGAGTTGGTAAAAATTTGTCTTATAATATTTCATTAGCCTACTAGTTGTTTTAACTGTGTTTTGTAATGGGCTAGGGGGCTCAGATGAGAATAAATAGTCACTCCCCCAACGTTGGTTGAAGAAACAAAACTCAACAGAACCACTAAAATTTATAATAAAGAAGTATGGCTTTGTAACGGTAGACCCTCCTATTACAGCTTCCATTGTCACAAAAACTATAGGAGGGTGGTTGGTAAGACATCCTCAAAGAAAGAAGCTTGTTATTAGGTGCTCAAAAGACGTAGTTTGTAGTGTTATATTATTTTATTGTTTAATTTAATCCAGTTCTTAGCAGGATAAAATGAATAACTTTGTTAAAATACAAATTGAATGTAAATGCACATATTGGAGCTGTACAAACACCGTTTTGTTTTGGTTGCAATAAGGAGACCAATCAGTATTTGACTCCACTCAACCATTGTACCGAAGATGATTTTAAGGATATAAACAAGCCTATACGTTGGCCAGGTTTAAAATCCACCTTTGTGAACAAACTCATCCTAGTTGAATCAGTATTTTTAGTGCTCAACCAGAACACACACATAGAAACCACCTCACTTTTTTTGTAAGGTAATACAATTAATCATAGGCTATGTAAATAACGTAATACTATAAATTATAAATCCTTTGTAAAAAGTACGAAATAGCCAAAAATCAATTGTAATAATAAAATTGTTTGTCTGTTATTACAGTTGAACCTCGTTTGTACGAACCTCGATAAAACGAATTCCTCGATAAGACGAATTTTTTTTAATCCCCTTGACACTTTCATATAGGTCAATGCTAAAAACACCTCTATACAACGTAGTAATTAAGTTAAAAACCTCCATAAGACGAATTTGTTTGTGACATGGGCTAGGACTGATTAACCTCTATACAACAAATATTCTTAGCACAAAACCTCTACAAGACGAACGTGACCTCTATAAGACGAATTTATCATAATCTTAACCTCCATAGTACGTAGTTTTCAAAACAAACAGAAGCTTGTCTCAACATGAAACCCCCACCCATCCCTCCTCCTTCCTCAGTCATTGTTTGGA